CCCATCCCCAGATGCTGTGGACAAAAGTACACAGATGACCAATGAGCTGGAAGCTTTCCTCCCATCCGGCTCTTTTGGCAACTCCTGGCAAAGAAATCGCTTAGAAAGGACCCACAGGGGAGCAGACACCAGGCAGCATCCAGGAAAGCCACTGCAAAAGCGATTTGGAAACAGCAAAACAAGAAACGAAAAACAGACTCTCCCAGGCCTGATGGATGCCTTTTAAAACTCCCAAGTATCCAAAATAACTTGGCTTGATAATAGGAGTTACAGATCAAGTGGTGTTTTCTGTTCCTTTTTCTTTTTCCAGTCCTCAAGTTTACATTTCTGTGTTTCTGTGCAGTAAGGTTGTTGAACAAGTTAATATTTGCATATAGAGATGGCGGGATGCACAGGAGGCAAACAGCTGTGGGCATTTGGAAGTACTTGGAGATCCTCCTCTGATTAGCTTCTGCATTATTTCCCCCTGTTCCCCAAATGGACACTCACGCTGACCCAGATCACGTGGTGATTGGGGTCAGTTCAAATCTGAGCTCTGAAGATCAAAGAAACCACAAATGGCCACTACTTCTCTACTCCATTTTTTTAAAGGCTCGTGAAACTTTTTTCTTTAAATGTGTGATATTCCAAGTTCTCTGAAGGAATGTATCCACATTTCTGCTTTGCTGAATGCTAGCAAAGTTTATATTGGACTGTCCTCCTCCTTCACTCTGTCCGCCAGCGTAGCGTACGAGACATCGATCTTCACATCTGGTTGTTAATAACCCTCGACGTCTGGGAGCTCCTTTTTATTCCTATGGTGGACAAGGCACAGTAGTGATATTGGCAGTGTATATTTGCAAGCTACAGCTCCTGTCTGTTTCAATCATAATTAATCACCGCGTTCTAATATATTTCATTTGCTCAAAGTGATTTGCATTGGGCCGCATTTCACTGTTGAGATAATAGCGGTAGATTCGGGGTGGAGTGGGGGGTGGGTGGCCAGTGCCTTTTTCCCCCCAATTGCTTTCTTTACCTTTTTAAAAAAAACACAAAACAAAACAATTAAAAGCCTGTGTAAAGGGACATGAGACAAGACTGCATGCATGCATTCTTTTTTCTGCGTGTTTAAAATAGAAAAAGGAAGTAAGTGATAAGTTGCATTATAGTCATCTCGAAAGTGGCCTATATGAACTGTAGGCTGCACTTTTAGGGACCGCTTCCCCTTCTTTGTGACTGGCATATCCCAGCCTCACTCTGTACCTGGTGTTTCCCTGCAGCAGTGATTTTTGGGAGGTCAGAAAAGATATAAAGTCAGACCCCAAAAAGAGGAATAAGCGTACACACACATACCCATGACCTTCTGCACTGACTGGGTTTCAAGGATTTGCGAGAGGCCCAGAGACCCTTTTGTGGATGTCCAAGGAGTGACCCTGCCTCTAGTTTTTCTTCCTTACCATGACACTCAGTGCAGCTTAACATTGTCAAGTCAGAACTGGTGCATAGTTGACCCTCCAGTGAGTTTTCAGAGATTGTTAAGTTGTGCATCCGAGGAAATGGCCCTTCTTTCTCCTGCGAAGTGGCCGGTAGGTTCATACCTCCTGCCTTTGGGTTGGCAGCACAACTCCTTACATCAATTTTGCCTTTCCCTGGAGAGTGAGAGGAGATATAATAAATAAAAATTAAATTCCTTTTTTTAGTGGATAGAATAATGTCTGGGGAACAGCAAGATTCTTGTCTTTTGGTTGGTTATGTTTTATTTGGTTTGTTTGGGGTTTTTTTTGGTTTTTTTTTTTAGTAAAAGAGCCAAATATTAAATATTTTAGGCCTCGCAGATCACACATTCTCTGTCATAGTTACTTAATTCTGCCATTATAGCAAGAAAGGAGGCCACAGACATAAGGCAATGACTGAGTGTAATTATATTCCAATAAAACTTTATTTATAAACCCTGGAGGGACAAAAGTAAAAAAAAAAATTTTCCAAAGTCGCATAGGGAAAAGAGAATGGTCAGAAGCAATTATAAGACTGTTTAATAGAAAATAAATATAGGATAGATATGCATAGAAATGCCTGGGTAAAATGACCACTTGTACCTTACTTGGGGTCAGAAACTTTTTGCCTAAGCTTTTCTGTGCAAGTCCACATGAAATTGTTCAAGTCAGACTCTCTCCAAATCACATGAGTGACTCAAGCCAGTCAGAGTTTCTGAGTCCCAGTCAGTCAAGGACCCCTTTGGCACCTTCTGAAGCTCAGACCTTTCCTTAGAAAAGTACTTTTCAATGTGCAATATGTACTACACAGGAATATAAAGAAAATCAACTCATTGACTGACTTATCATCTGGCATTTCCTATTTACACAAATAGTAAAACATCCGCTTTCTGTTTTGCACATTATTGAGGCAGTGGGTGCAGACACAATGGCTGTAGGCCTGTAGGGTCTCCTCCTGACTTCCAGGAAGCCTCTCCTATTGTCCTTCCTCCTTCACTCCCTCTTGCCCCTGGGGGTATTGGGTCAAGCTGCCATGTGGGACCAGCCTCTGAGCCAGTGGGTGACTGTTCTGGGTGGCCAGCTCCTATGTTGAGGAAGGAGGTCTAGTGGCCCAATAGATTTAGAGACCTGAACAGCTAGCCCAAAGGCTGGACCTCGAATGCATCAGCCACTCCATAGGAGAAAGAAAAGCAGTCACCTCCCGTGTGATTTACAGCCTCAGAAACCCAGTGGAAAGTCAGCTGCAGGTCAGTTCCATCTCAATAGCAATGGGTTTGAATGTTGTTGGAGTTTTGTTGTTTTTTTTTTAAATTATGTGCCTAAGCCCCTCTAACTCAAAATTTCTGAGTTGAGATGGGATGAGAAAGAAGCAAAGCAAACGGCATCTAGGACGACGTTTGGAAGAAATGCATGTGAGTTTAATAGCATACCGGAGTGAGCTGAACTGAATCAAAATCCTCCACCTTGGTGGGGCTGGGTGTTCAGCCAGGCTTCCAGCAGCCATGAAGGAAGCCCCAGCCATAGTAACTTGTAAGAGCCCCCCACCCCCTCCTCCCAGACCCAGGGCAGAGCAGGTTCTAAGATCTTGAACACAAAATTTCAGAGGTGAAGGTTGCCCCTGCAAGGGATTCTCTGCCCCAGGACAGGACACAGTAAAGCCATAGGCCCTGCAACCACAGGCCAACTTTATCCAGCTTTCTCTCCTCCTAAGAGTCATCCATAACTGGACTTGTCAATAGTGTAAAATGTAGCTTGTCACTGTTTTGATAATCACACTTTCTAAATTTAAAAAGAGTCAGACAAATGAATGGTCTTAAAATTTTTTAAAAAGTTCTACATTTGCACTAACCACTATGACAGCGGCCCGGCCTTTAGAACCTGACCATGCTGATAAGTGAGTGGGTGTATATTGAAATATAGCTGAAAGCCCAGATCTGGCTCCTTGGATAGATTAAAATAACCTTGATCTATTTAGCAGGATTAAGTTGAACTCTATGAAATTGCTATTTCTGTGGGTGAACAAAAAGTTATTGGCATTATGACTCAAGCAAGAAGGAACAAACTAGTGAGAATTTGTCCCAGGTTGTCTTGGTTTTCCTGTTCCTGTTTCCCAAAGCAAAGAAACATATCAAGGCAGAATGTGGTTCTATTGGAAGGTTTTTAAAAGATAGCACTCCACATCATGCTGAGTGAACTATCTCAGTCACATAAGGACAAATACTGCATAGCACCACTGTTATAAAGCAGGTCTGACGTCAGGGGTTGGAAAGAGAATAGGATAAGAGTGGATAGATAATGGCCATTGTATTGGAACACATGAAAGAAAGAACTGTCTAAAATAAATACATGATTAGGCATTATACATACAACAATAGCCCCAGGATAAGAGGTCTCTCATTGCAAAGAGGACTGGGGTTCAGGGAAGGTAGGTAATTATGCAACAATGAATAAATACTTCTTTTTAAAAAAGTGAACTGGGGGAGGGGAAAGGGAAGAAGAGGGTGTAAAATGTGCAACAATGAATGAATGAAAATCTAACTTCTCTGTAAATGTTGGTTAAAATTAAAATTTTATTAAAAAAAGATGACACTCCTAAACTATGTAGACCAATCAGTGTTTGACTTAATGTCCTTTGTAGTAAACGGTGAGAATTCCCGTGATCAAAAATAACAGGGAACTTGTGATGGTGGAGAAAAGTCCAAAAAGCAGCAGCTTCCCAGTGCTTGCGGGCCAGTTTAAAATCAAGGGCAAGTTAAGAGTCTTCTGGGAACATTGTCAAAACCAGAATTCAGACCAAACAAGTTTCCGTTTTTTCACAGTTGAACACACTTTTAAGTTAAACAACCTTTTCTGCAAGCATTCTACTGAATTGAACATTTGCTCCCTTTGCTTTGAAACTTACATGATTGTAACTCCACACTCGTTGCAAGGCTTCCTTGTCCTGTTTTAGTCCAAAGAGCCAAACAGAACCTGACACATCAAGATGTCACAGCATTTTGGGGCCTTTGCATAATGGCCAGTGTAAATTATTGCATGTTAAAAAAAGTTTGTTCCACCCAAATTGATGGAGTATTTTTTAAGTCTTTAACCTTTATTGATATTTTCAGCTTAAGGGAAATGAAAGGTATTTGATTACTATAATTACTTCTCTGCTGACTTAAAAGGTTTAATCTACTCCTTAGGCATACGCAATTCCGATTGCATGCTCTCCAAAAAAATAATCATCTGTTAATGTAGACTAATTTAAATCTTCTAATCCAATCTCGACACAAGAGGCTGGGCTGGGTGGGTGGAATGTTTCTGTGTAGCGGTTGTCATAGATACAGTGCTTGGTTATATATTTGACAAGTAGGTGATGTGGAACTTAAGTTACTATGGATTTTTTTTTTGTCCTTGCTCTTTAAGATTAAAAAAAACAAAGTCAAGATCAGCATGACTTTGCAGTGCATCACGGTGTAACTAACCTTCTCTTCTTTCATTCCGGTGATCCCCTCCTCTGTTGCACCTCCCGCCTCGGGCCGGCCGCAGGATGATGAGGAGGGCATATGGGCATAGCCGGGCCTGTAAACCAAAGTTCCAGTTTTGTTTTGAGGGGTGAGAAACCATCTTTTCTATCATATTTTTCTTAAAAAGAAAATTGCATTCCAGTGTTGTGTTTTCGTGTGCGTGCTCAGTTGTGCTCGCTGATGTCTGTGACTGCTCTGTGTTTGCTACTGTGTCCTGTAAGCGCAGAATGTCCGCGTGCTGCCCCCCACCCCGCCACCCCCAAGGACCCCCTCCATCCTCCCTACCTCCCCATCTCCCAGCCACATCACCGTTCTGCCTTGTTGGGGTTGTGTTGAGCACGATACAGATGTCTGTGTTATCTGGAGTTGTGAGCACTGCCTTTGCTAGGCTGTAGACACACTTTCTGGCATGGCGGTGGACTTAGAAACAAGTCTCCATTCTCCTTGGGGTTTGCAGCTAGCTGCTTGCTTATACCAAATATGCCAATGTGGTGCGAGCCTTGAGTCCTCCTGGTTGTGTCTCATGTTTGGCAAAGGAATAAGGAAAATAAAAGCTGTGTGTCTTCATGCAGCTGAAGCCGTCAACTCTCAGAAGCTCGCTTAATGGACTGCGCTGTCTCCCTGTGACAGTTTTGAAGGGAAAAGCCAGGATTGAGGCATAGTAACGGTGAATGGGCACCATTGCACTTTGAACTGATTAGAACAGAAATATTAATTTAAGCGGGTTTCCTGACTAGCATTGCATCAGTTTTTATTTTGTTCTTATTGTTTTTTAATAACTCTTCCATGGAGCTTTGCATGTTACATGACATGTGCTGTGTTTTTCAGAGAGTCTTGCTTTTTCTAAAGGCTGATGTCTTAGCTGGTAAGACCCCCCACCCTTTATTTCTGTCCCAGCTATATTAGGCTTGAAAAGTAAAACAGCTTATTTTCACCTGATTCAAAATAGAACCTAGAACTCCAATTGGTGAGCTGACTGCAGATGGTTTACCTTTTGCACCAAGTCACAGACTCCTTGAAGTAGATGCTGCATATGGTCATGAAGCAAATGCTGATAAAGTTGATAACGCTGAGCGTGCTGTTTGGTTCAGAACCCAGAATTTGGTAGATAATGTGCCATACTGATGTTTAATGGTCGAAAAGCTGATTGAGCAGATTTTCTTTTTAGCAGGATAAATGTGAATTCTTCTTAACAGGATAAATGTAGTAAGTCAAAGGGCTTGGGAAGCACCACATCTGGGAGTAAAAAATCCAGTTCTTTAGCAACACTCAGCATAGGTGCCCTTCCCAGAACCTTGCCTTCCAATAATATGATGGTGGTGCTCTTGGTGGATTGAAAACCAATAACTGATGCATTTTTCTCATGGTTGACAGTTTCATTGCTATTTCACTGCTGGGTGAAACCAATTACAGGTCCCACCAATGAGTCTTATTACCTTCTCTGGTCCTGTGGGAACACACAGGGGATCAATCTTCAGATACAACATCTTTCCGTGTCCATTTGTTGTTGGAAGGATTGGCTCTGTGTTTACTTTGGAGTACCTGATCCATTCTCTCCTTCTGGTTAAGGTGGAGGACAGCATTGGAATTCCGTAGGGTTGCACTGCTGACCCGAAAGCCAGTGCCTGTCTGTTGGTTCAAATCCTCCAGCAGCTCCACAGGAGACACATGGGCAATTTCCTCCCTGTGACTCAGCGGCTTTGGAAACCAGATGGAAGGTCAGCTATGAGGCAGTTTTGACTCGGTGGCAGTGAGTTCACAAACGCCAAGTGGTTTCTCAAAGAATCTCATCTGTATACAAAGAAAACAACCAGCAACAAAACCCAATAGTGCTGTCAAATGGATTTAAACTCATGGTGACCTGATGAATTATAGAGTCAAACTGTGTCCCATAGGGATTTCTTAACTATAATCTTTATGGAAGCAAAACTCTGTCTTCTGGGGTGCCCCTGAATGAATTTGAACTGCCAGCCTTTTAGTTTAATTGCCAAACTCAAAGTATTTGCCCTATCTAAGGAACTCTCTTCAGTATGGGTATTAGAGGGGGAGCACAGAAATGTCTCAAGTTGCTTTTGGAAGGAAGGCTTTCTCCCCTGTGCAAACGCATTAGGGGCCCTGGTGATATAGTCCAGAGAAAGGTGCACTGCTAAACCAGAGGGTGAGCATTTCTGGCAGTTAGACTTTACTGGCAACTCCATGGGAGAAAGATGGCCAGTCTCTTCTTATGCAAATAACAGCATCAGAAATGAAAACAAAAGTCAGCTATGAGTCGAACTCAGCTTGCTAGCCATGAAAGAGAAAGGTGGAGAGCTTATTAAGAAATATTGCCATTTCCTCTCTCAGAAAAGCAAACAAAAGAATAAAATAGTTCTAAGTTAATGAGTGAGAAGAGAGGATTCTATAATGCTATAAAATGAACATGGAAAACGTGCCCAACATTTGTGTGGAGGAGTTAGGCAGAGGAGGCTTCAAAGAGCCTGGAAGTTACCTTGAGAAGTGTAACACGCCCACCTGAGGCTCTTCTAGTCCTTATCCTTTGTTCTGCCACCCTAAGTCTGTGATGTTGGAGTATATTTGTGTTTGCTGGAGAATAATGAAGATTTTTAGGATTCTTTCCTAAGGTTTAGGTCATCCACCATGCCATCTTGTAATATGAATATTAACATTGCCAAGATGGAATTGGTATCAAAGACTATCGAATATCTTTATTTACTCAAGTTAAATGGAGAAACCATGCTAGACCCTTATCCCTTTTATTCTGTCTCGGTTTTCCCAAAATAGCATGTACCCTAGGAAAAATTATCTTCTGAACAGTTTTGCTGTTGTTATTTTTTGGTGCTCTCAGGCTGACCCCAACTTGTAGTGATCTGATGAGCAATGGAGTGAAAGAGTGCCCAGTCTGGTGCCATCGTCACAACTGTTGCTATTTCTTCCAGACCATTGTTGGAGCCACTGTCGTAATCCAATCTGTCTCCTGGAGAATCTTCTTTTTCACTGAGTCCCCCTCCTTTGCCAAGCATGGTATCTGTCTCCGGGAGCTCTTCTTTCCTGGAAAAATATCTAAAGTGCATGAGACTCTGTCTTACCATCTTCCCTTAAAGAGCGGTCTACTCATGCTTCTTCCAACACAGATTTGTTCATTTGCTCTGGAAGTCCATGGTGTGCTCGATATTCTTTACCTATACCATCATGCAGGTGAATCCATTCTTCAGTCTCCCTTATTTGTCATTGGGCTTCTGTGTGCATATGAGGTGATTGAGAAGCCATGCCTTGCATCAAGTGTACCTTAGTCCTCCAGATGCTTTATGTCTTGGTTGCTGCCACCACAGATCTTGATTTTAAAGCCAAGTAAAAGTCACTCTTTGACAGTTCAGTCTTTTATGGATTCATTATGATGCTGGTTAGTGAGCCGGTTGTAAGAATTTCTGTCTTCTTTGTGTTGAGATATAAACCACACTGAAGGCTGTAGTCTTTGCTCTTCATCAGTGTTTTCCCATGTTCTTTACTTTCAGCAAGCAAGGTTGCGTCATCGTCTACATATTGCAGCTTGCTGTAAGTCTTCCTCCAGCCCCTAGGCCATGTTCTTCTTTACATATTCCAGCTTCTCAAATTATTTGTTCAACGTGGAAAATGAATAAGTATGGTGAAAGGATACAACCCTGACAAATAACTTTTCTAATTTTAAACCGTGAAGTATCTATGCCTTTGTTCTGTTCTTAAATTGCCTCTTGGTCTACATACAAGTTGAAAATAAGTCAATATATAATTGTGTTTTAATATGTTGTAATAAATTTTATAGGCTTCTGAGGGAAATTTTATCTTTCTTTATGACTCCTTTAAACAAGTTTGCTCAGATATCCTCAGGCTTTAAAAATCCTATCTTTGAGGATTTAAGTAATGAGACACTGAGGGGAAATTCCATTTTATTCCTTACTTTTAAAAATTGTGCTTTAGGTGAAGTTTGCAATGCAAATTCATTTCCCATCCTATGATTTGTCCATAAACTGTTGCATGGCATTGATTGAGTCTCCACTTCCACCCTAAGTTCCTTGTCTTCTCCTCATTCTCCCCACTTCTACCCTAGGTTTCTTATTTATATTTTTTTTTTCATCTAAATTTTCTACCCCTTCCTGTCTTTCTATCTTTGCTTCTGGGCAAATGTCCTTTGATCTCCTTTAATTGATTATTCTAATAAAAATATTCCTCTGGAACTTGCTTATCTTATGAGTCTATCAGGGAACTCTGGTGGCCTAGTGGTAAAAAGCTGTGCTAGAATCCCAAAAGCACAAATCTATAATTGAGTTCGAATCCACCAACTGCTCCATGGAAAAAGGTTAGGCAATCTACTCCTGTGTGATTCAACTACTTCTAAAAATGCGCTGGAGGGTTAGCTATGACTGATGGCACATAACAAACAACAGCATGAGCCTGTCTATTGTTTAAGGAGTCCTGGTGGCTTAGTGCTAGCTGAAAAGTTGGTGGTTCAATGCACCAGTCACTTTCTGGGAAAAAGATGGGCATTCTCTTCTCATAAAGAGTTACAGCATTAGAAAGCTGGGGGCAGGAAGGAAAATGCAACAATGAATGAATGGAAATTCAAAATCTCTGCAAATTTTCATTAACATTAATAAAATGAAATTTAAAAAAAGAAAGTTGATAGAGGATCTCTTTGAGTCCAAATTGACTCGACAGTAGCAAGTGGTCAGTCTTATTTGAGTGAGTGGTAGGCTCCAGGGTTGGTTTCACTTCCAGACTGTGCCTGCTGTTTTGGGACTATAGTCTGAGGTGTTCCTATAGTCTCTGACAGATCAGTAAGTCTGATCTTTTTGTGAATATGTTTTTGTTCCACATTTTCCCTTACTTTTATTGGACTCTTTTGTGATCCCAGTCAAAACAGTGACAGCCGGACACCATCTAGTTCTTCTGTTCTTAGTGCCTTACAAGCTGTGGTTCATAGGTCCATTAGTCCTTTGAACTGATTGCTCACTAAGGTTTTTTTTTATTTTCTTCACTCCCTTCTTAGACAGGAAGTGGGTCATAAAAGGATACCTTTTAAGAACTCGCCTATCTGTACTTACCAAAGTAAGG